ACTGACATACCCACCATATTTCTTTCTTGGAACCTTCACTGTTCATTGGAAGCTCTTTGGACGCTTCATGCAACTTCAGACCACCTTCACTCACATCAGACAAGTACTTCGGTACTTCGGATGCATCTTCGGAACTCAGAATGCACTTTGGGTAACCTTTCCTTTTCTCATCTCTGATCTTAACAAGACATCCCTTGCATATTATTATATCAAGAGATAGTTCTATAGGCAGTCTCTTTGGGACAAGCATTACACTCGCACATTGAGTTCTAAGGTAACACTATTGTAGTGCCTACACAGAATCAACTCTTTACACCATGCTCGGACTTTTGACCGTTTATCTTATCACTAACTTCAGACCTATTCCAAATAGCTAACCCCTCAGGTCAAATGCACTTGTCTTGCAAGTATAGCAGACTAGGCTGTGCAAGACCACAACAATTATATTTGGCTGAGTGCTCACTGCATGTTGTGCTGAGCCATTGTTGTATCATTATATTGGGTCTGCTAGTCAAAGTGTCAGGTTAAGCGGGTAAGCATCAGGTTACATCGGGAAATGATTATTATGTGACAGGCATTTAATGCAAATCATGAAATAACTGAATACAAGCCTAGCACGAGCTCGAGTGCTATATTGGTCATCATCATCTTTGTACAACACATTTTTTTCTTCGTCAGTATGCACAATAGCCCACCAACTCAAAACTAACTCTGGACATGAAGACAATGATGCTACAACAGGCCTATTTTTGTCAACTGGCTCATCTTCATCCATAGATCCTGCACCATTGGTGGAAGTGTTACCAGGCAGTCGTGTTTTTTTAGCCTTCTTCAGGTTTGTGTTCCTACCATCTCCACTACTATTGGTTTTCCACTTCTAACAAGGTTCTGATAGTTTGCTCTTCTAGAGCAGCTTTGGCCTTCCCAGTCATTTTGATAACTTGTTTGGCTGTGGCTGCAAAGCTGAGCTGCATGATATGCAGTACTAGTAGGTGATGAAGGTTTGTGAGTGTCCCCTTGCTTGAGATGGTGTCTGCAGACGAGGAATTATGATCAATTTTTTGAAGCATATCAAAAATCATTTGATGAGGTGATTGCAATTGAAGGTGATGTCAAATCCATGGTAACTCAACTTGTAAATGCACAACAGTGAGATTATGAATGATATTCAAGTAGTCTTCCAGTAGTATACATACCAGTCTACAATTGGAACTCAAGTTCACCTGCAATAAAGTGTGATTCTGAATATTTCCTTTTTTAGTTGTGACACAATTTCAATTTCTGGAGGGGGAGGGGGGCGGGGGCACAAATAATATTTGTGCAGATTCAGCAGCCTATAGTTCTGGTGTTGTGCATCACTGCAATTTAGCATGATTGGCCTTTGATCATGGGCTGGGTATGAAATAAACCCTAACCACGATGTAAATCCTGTTATGGGACGTGACATCCGATATCCGATACTTGACCTTGAACGCGTCACCTACAAACGACCGCGTAAAGCATCAATATCACTTCGCTTCGTCCCCCATCATGGTATGTGCATGGTCTATACTCTTTGTGATCTTATAATTAAAATATTTCCTAGTTTCGAAACACGTACGACTCTGATAACACCGTATTTTCGCCACAAGGTCGTCTTCACCAAGTCGAGTATGCACTAGAAGCCGTGAAACAGGGATCGGCGGCAGTGGGCCTGCGATCGAAGACCCATGCGATCCTTCTTGCTCTCAAGGTTAGTGGATGCTAATTACTACATGACAGCTTTTCACAAGGAGTCCATACAGCGTTCAACAGGAGAACTCGCTTCATACCAGCAAAAGATGTTCCGCATAGACGATCATGTTGGCATTGCCATTGCTGGTCTTACTTCAGACGCACGAGTACTCAGGTGTTTATTGAGTTTTACAGTGCACAGCATGCATTCTGACTTGACTGCAGCAACTTTATGCGACAGCAAGCAATGGGAGAACGTATGATGTTCAACAGACCTATGCCAGTGAATCGCCTTGTCTCTTCCATCGCTGATAGTATGTGCTTGAGTATCTCTTGCATGGCTGATGCTCATCTAATTGATTATAGAGGCGCAAGTGAACACGCAGGAGTATGGTCGCAGACCATACGGAGTTGGTTTCCTCGTCATTGGTCAAGATCAATCCGGACCCCATCTTTTTGAGTTCTCGCCATCAGGAAACTCGTATGAGTACTATGCCATGTCGATCGGTGCTCGCAGTCAAAGTGCAAAAACCTATTTGGAGAAGCACTATGAAAGTTTCGCAGATTGTATGTGCCGTATCAATCTTACACCATGTTCATGCCATTGAAGTTGTTTCAGGCAATCTCGAGGACCTCATTCGGCATGGACTTCATGCCCTCCGCGAGACCCTTCAACAGGACAAGGAGCTTAACGTGAATAACACGTCGGTAGGCATCATCGGACCCGTGGGTCAACATGAAAAGCCCATTTCGCCGCCAGGCAGCTTCCGGATCTTAGAGGGCGACAACGTAGAAGTATACCTTCAGAGTATGGAGAAGAAGGAGGAAGCACCCGCACCTGCATCCGTACCTGATGCAGCACCAGCGCCTACTGCTGATGAGGATGTACAGATGTCAGGATAAACTAAGATATAATAACAGGCGCCTTCCTATTTGATCAATCACAAAAACTGAGGTTCGAAAGACCCATGGTTCAGATGCATAACATGAAATAATGATAAGGGAGTGGTGATGTGTAGATCTAGAATGTCGGGCCATGTGTGGGTAATGTGTCTTACAGGCCAGAGCCCTTTGTCTGCATCCCAGCTTTCCTCCACGCTTGTGCAGCTAAGCCTGGCCTACGCAACGATACTAGTAAGTGCACCATCGTGCTCAGAAGAGCAATGCTTCCCGCCTGATGAGCAGCTGCAATGGGTACAGGGACAAGGTATAATAATGTTGCGAGACCCAGAAGAACCTGTACATTTGCCATGGCAAAAGCTGCCGTGACAGATTTGCTTGCAAGTGGTGGTAACAGCGCACGGATGGCGGGTCGCCGACTGTAAGCAAAGAGCAGACAAGTACTGAGATACGTAGTCATCGCCTATAATCGAACGAACACTTAGAAGAATACAATATAGGAAAGAACGAAACGTACAAGAACCCGATGATCGAACTGAACGGTAATGGGATTCTCAAAGATATTTCTCCACCAGATGTCAGATCCATCGGCATTCTTTGCATAGGCGAACGAGAATAATTCGTCCATGGGAGGTGCAAGTCGACCCCCCATGAGCGGAAATTCGTTATACAGCAAACCGGCATCCAGCCCAGCAACGAACGCGCCTGCACATAGACTGTAATTACGTCGAATTGAAAGCCGAAATGAACGAACCTGATAATGCAGTCAAGAAGACTAGTGCACTCAGTCCTTTAGACAATCGAGAAAACCTCTTGACAACGGGATTTGAAAGCACGTTCTGCCAATTCATAGTGCTGGACCCGCTCCACGAGCCACCTCTGGCGTATCTCCAATCTTTAATCGCCGCTAACCCAGTTCCGAGCATCCCTGCGTACAGCACCACGGCCGTTCCGAGATGAGCTGCCAGACGGTACTGAGAAACACGGGGTACTGCGCCCGGCGTATCCATGATGGAGTCTTCCAAACCTGATTTCACCATGTACCATCCAAGGAAACCCTGGAAACCGATGAGCAGTGCCATGCCCGTCAGTTGGATAGGCATCGAGGTAGTGAGCTTCTTCCGCAGACCAAAATAAGCCAGAGGAACCACAAATGTGATGCCGATAAGGCGCCCAAGTACGCGGTGACCCCATTCCATGTAAAAAATGTTCTTGAATTCATCGAGGGTAATGGAGTGGTTGAGACTGTGGTGCGTTCACGAGATGATACAAGGAGCAGACATGAAAAGGATGCTCACAGTTTAAATTCAGGTGTAGCCTTGTACTTCTCGAATTCAACACTCCAGTCCTCCGCATTCAGAGGTGGAATGATGCCCGTGATGGGTTTCCATTCTGTGATGCTCAGCCCTGATTCGGTGAGACGCGTTACTCCACCCACTACGATCACCGCAAAAACCATTGCCGATGAGAATAAGAGCCAGCGTCCGACTGCGGGTGGAGCAAGCACAGGTAATTGTGATGTCTGTGCAGCGCCATGAAAGGCGTTCGCAGAGAAGAATTGAGGTTTGAGGGAATGAGGAATAGTTGGCTTGCGCTGCGCGATGACTGAATAACACCTCCGGTAGAGCCATGAGTTACAGAGAGGTGAACTTGTGACTTCAGAAGCAAGGCATGACTTGGGCACTGCTCTTCTGGAAAAGTTGACTGGAGCAGTTGAAAATGTACGCGAAGCTCGTAAGCCAAGATGGGCTCTTGGACGCAGCAAAGCGTTTACCAAGCTCAGCTGCATAGGAGACCTCAAGCTTCAAGCCCAGTACCTGGACTGGTTAATGCGAATATTTAATGTATGTATGCGGTACTGACCTACGTGACAAAGTCTGAGAAATGAATACCTCGAAAATGCAGATTGAATTTATGCACAGCCACAACATGCTCGCCGTTCTCCCGTCCACACCACCACCATGTTAACCTTAAGGAGGGGACTGGCAGCATCACGAGCCTTCCGGAGGTTTTCAACTAAGCCCCATATTCCGCCAGCCAACCTTACTGAGGGAGAGAAGCTAATATATGATAAATTAACCGACAAGTTTTTGCCAAGTGAGCTAGACGTGCAAGACATCTCAGGTGCGACTTTTTTGCCATTCACATAGCTCACAATTAGATTGATTGATCTTACTGATACTGTTAGGAGGCTGTGGTGATTTCTATGCCATCAAAATAGCAAGTGAAGCTTTTAAAGGCCTTTCAACCTTGAACCAGCATAGACTTGTAACACGAGTACTGAAACAAGAAATTGAAGGAATTCATGGGTTACAGGTCAGGCGTCGTCATCATTACCAGAGGTTTACTGACACATGATCTGATCCTCTAGGTCAAGACCATATCACCCTCATCAGAATCATAACTTGGGCGGATAGTGCTTCTTCGGACACCAATTTACCCGTTTGTGTGGTACATACGCATACAAGGTGTTGACGGCATTTTATTTCATTTTAGCCATAGAAAAATCTCGTCACCGAGAATGATTGCCTTTCAAGTCACACATGCTACACTGCTCTACATCAGAGCGCTCATTTCACCGCATCTCAAGAAGCAACGGGGTGTTGAAATTACTCCAGTCTAGAACAGTGGTGAAGCGGTCACTTGATAAGCCTCCTTATGGCCGCTTTGTAAGAGCTAGAAGCGAGATAGCTTCGCGATTGTAGATTTCGCGATTTGGGTCGTCCTCCACCTTGTGAACACTTGTTATCAACCTGTTGTCAGATTCGAGAAGGCAAAGAAGACTCGTACCTCTTCCCAACTAAATTTCTTCTTCAACATTGTGAAGAACCGTTTATCTGCCTGGGCAGTGCTAGTACGGACATTTCATCAAATTACAGATCTGACGCTCACCTTACGTCTCTTTTTGTAACAAAATAAAATTTCTGTACTGCCATTAACAGCCATCTCTGATAAGGTCTGAACCAGAAGAGGGAAAGCAGGCTCAAAGTAGACACAATCTGCTGCAAGGATCAGTTCAGGAAGAGGAATATCCGAGGGCAGTGTCTCTCCCCTGTACGGAGTCAATTGTGCACAGCCTTTTAAACAAGTCAAGATTATCTCACCAATTGAGTTCGCGAACGGAGACACAGGACTGCAAATTGTTCAATGACACATTTTGTTGCATGATACCCAGCAACGGGCTGGAAGAATTATTGCTTCACTAGCTGAAATAAACAATAAGGGACGAACGCTTGATCGGTGATCCAAACTGTACCACCGAGTGCGCCTGCTACAAGACCAACTAATCCCGTTCCACTGCCAACTTCTACAATCTTCTTGCCTTGAAGATACTCGACGCCTCGAAATGCGATGTAATTTGATAAGACCTGCATTGCATCAAATGTCTCGCTCTAGCATTAAAAAAAGGAACCCACCTCACCAGCTGGCCAAGCAATGCCACCACAGCCATGAGACGCATCAACTTTGAGTGATATGGACACCAGCGGAGAGTTCACGGGAAATGTCAATCTGATCGTCTCACCGAGGATAGATCGTGGTTGCGAAGGTACGACAACAGTATCTTCGTCATCTCGAGCGAAGTCGCTGGCGTCGGTCCTGAAATGTCGCAAGGGATCTGATATGTCGAGGGCTTCGTCTAGGGCAATCTCGTTTAAACTCGTTACTGATTCGGATGGACTCTCGAATGGCAGCGATCTGGGTTGGGTTGTAGCCATCATAACTCTCCGAGATGATACGTTAAGTTAGATGTTCGGCTACGATTTGAACCTTGAGCTTGACCCTGACGAACGTTATGATATCTTACAAAAACAGTCACGGTCAGGATCGTCAGGTGTCAAGTGACACGTAGAAAGTTGTCGGTCCTGATTTGGTCCTGATTTAGGTTCCCGCGGTCCTGCTGTTTCAAGTTTGGAACGTCGTGTGACCAGCTACCAGCACCAACTTGAAGACTATCCGGTGAACATGGATCTGCTAGTAGTGCGGGCCACCGGCATGCAGCAGCTGATTATGAACCTTTTCCTCGAACTTTCCTGCAACGTTCATCAGCTCGCTGTCTACTTTGATGACCGGACTCACGGGAACAGACCAAAGTCAGTAATCTACGCACGCGATTATCATCCAGGAACCAACGTGATTGGCATCAGAGCACGAAGCCATGCAATTATAAGTCACTGATCACAAGTCGGTGTTACGCCAGTGCCGCAACTACTAGACAATTTGGGAGTCACTTCGGCAAGATGCGTTTCCTCAGCGGCTTGGCCGAACAATTATTGATACCTCTATTGATAGCGTTCCGATCCTCTTCATTCCCTGCTTTCATGGCATTCGCAGAGATGCAGCCACCTCATGCAGACAATCTCGCACCTCTTCCTGTATTTTCTCGGCGGAAGACACCTAGGTTACGGGGACCACGCCCATGCAGCTGGCTTCAAACGGGGATAGCAACAAGAGGAGAAATTGAAGGGAATTGGTCATGGACACATCGGCAGGCCGACCTGTCCAGAGTATCAACAATATGCTCCCGCACCTCTAGCGACTCTACTTCATCCAATCAGTCCAGTATCACTTCCTCGTCCTCGTCCAGCGCATCGTCATATAATGATGATACACCAATTTCGTCATGTGACATATCGTCGCGCAGACATAAACGTCGCTCTCAACGGCAGAGACCATCTGGTCCGCGCCCTCCCTCCCGTCCACATTCCCCCAGTTCCCCCATGCGACCCCTACTTTCTATCAATACGTCATTATCAGCCCCCGTTCCCCTTGAGGACCCTGTCCTTCCGCTGCCCCTGGCAGAGTTCCCACATATAGCACCGACTGAACCTACGACACCCGCACCTCTGTTACCCCCAGCGATTACGTTTTCACCTTCAGATTTACTTGATTGGGACGCAATATTTGAGGTATTGGCTTTGGAAAGCATACCATAGTTTGAGCTTGGAGGTACAGTTCATTACCAGCATTGTAACGACAAGCAAAGAAGCTGACTGCTTCGTTGGATAGCATTTTAGACCACAGATCCTCGGACCCATGTAGCATACTTACACTTTTATTGACACACGGACATTCCATTTTACAATCTCATGAATTAGTTTTTCTTGCAATCTAATAGGTGGCTCGTGGTGCTTTCTCTTTTACATGATCTTTCTTCCACGTTCCTTTGACGAGAACGTCGGTGTTGACCAAAATTTGTACATTATAACACGGGGACTCGGATGTGTAAATCAAAGGAATGAATACGATCGTCTTTCTAAATATTGGTGTGCCTAGCGGGAGACTAAATAACTTGCGGAAGACCATGACGCTTTTAATAACGACTCAGGTCCTGAACTAACTATAGTACCAATAGTACTAATAGCTACCAGCAGCTCATGGCTTCAACACTAGATTGAATATATTACAACACAAATAATTGAACTTAAGCTTGAACTAACCGAGTCAACCGAGTCAGGGAAAACACGGGGCGCAGCCAGTGGTGCTGCGCCCAGTATTTCAATCCCCCATACTATAAGTCAGACGTGAATACGTCACTGGCCAATGCCAGGAATTGCAAGCGTACGATGTCTCCTTCGGTGTTATCCCGTGGTGTCGCCACTCGATTAGGTATATAACTCACCATAGCCAGTTGAATGCGAGTATGTTAGAATGCATAGCAAACGCTGGGCGCAGCGCCATTGCGCCCCGTATTTGTCTTGGGCCCTGCTGCGAGTCAGGTACAAATCCCTGACCAACGGAAGTGCAGGTCTGTCTGCTATTCATGAATTAATATGGGACTATATTGATCATATGTGAGCCCTGAGGGTGAGGACACCATGAGGGTGTGAAAAACAGATCACGGTGGACTGCCGGAAATATCTGAGAGGTAAGTGGCTGCGCTGTATGGAAGAGACAACGGGATTCGAAATTTAAATAGATATGCGAGGCAGGAGACGTGCGAGAGGATACGAGGCATAACCACGGTGCAGTGACCAGTCAGCGACTCAGCGAGAAGACGTGCGAATCAGCGGTAAGTGTGAGAAAGTGGCGGCGCCACCGGTGAGCGCTGGTCTAAATGCACGTGACTTAGTCATTTTGACAATAGCCTGAGCGTAGATGCGGCCAAATAAAAATTCATTCACCCTATATGGCTCGGGAGAATACGTCAGATTATTCTAGGCAACGAAATTGTAATTGATAGAGGGATAAGGGAAAGTCATGAGAGAAAGTGCCCAGACTCCAATCAATTTCAGGAAAATGATGAGTAGTCTGTGTACACGGGAGACTGAATCACAAATTAATACCAGGCCACAGGATGGTCAATGAACGTTAACAACGGTCTCATGGCAAGGATGCTATTGACACCTGCTCATAGACATCAGTATGTACATACCAAGTACACAGAGCAGACATTGAAATTAGACTGTGGCAGGTCCCCCAGGTAGAAGCTCGTGCGCAGCCTACTAGCAGACTTTGGAATCATAGTAACTGCGCACTGGCACAAAGTATCATCGTGGGAATGGCTCACCCGCCGAAGTACTAGTGCGTACAGGCAAATCTCCAGGCTTCGGCTGCAATCTCTATTCTGAGAGATCACTGGATTTATTGCATGCAGTCTTTAGCACGGTCCAGAGGTGGAGTTTCACTGCCTTGAATCCAAGGCTATTACATATATATAGCCTTGATGATATCAGCCCATGCTATTGACGCCACAGAGACTGCTTACTGGAAATGCGTCAGCCGCTGGCCGCGCTGGGTTACTCTTGATGCTGTGGTAGATGGGAGACTACGGCAACTCATTGAATACTTACATATAAATCTCCTCTGACAGTTATCTGTAAAGCATTTCATAAACAACAACACGATTGTCATGTTAAGCATTCACAGTATGTGAGCAGTTCTCATGTGCGTGCTACAGAGCGACTGCGACCAGGAGTCGGCTGGAGGTATGATAAGGAGGGTACCACTGTCTTCCTCCTATTTTTTCCAGGTATGTATGCTTGTGGAAGAAGGCCGCAGCGGCGCAGCCCTTCATAACACTGGGAACTCGTGTACTTGGTGGAGACTGAGTCCTTGTTACAGGTCAACAGTTGCACTGAAAAGCCAATCGGGACTCGGCAAGCAAATTTCAAAAGTCACGTGCAAGCTCATCCTTGATCCGTAGTGTGACTCCTTAAGTTTTGACCACTAATACCATCTTCGAAGCTCAAGGTTTGACGACTGACTCAGAGAGACTAGCTACGTTTGACTTAGTCTTCCCGGCTTTTGCAGGATCCCATAAGCAATTTTTTTGTTCACGAAAACACAGGATCTTCCCTAAACTTTCACGTCACGGAACCCCAGTGTCCACGTCATACTGAACTCCTGGCGCCTGGCATCACATATAGTTGCACACAGGAGGAGTCGCCGCCACCATCATCATGTTTGCCTGAGGCTGGAAACTGTTAGCTCCGAACCTTCATGCCTCTGCCTCGTGGTTTTATTCAACCCCGCCAAGAGCCTCGAGGCATCCTGAGGCTTCTGATGCACTCCTGAAACAGATCTCAATAATTTTTCCGGCCCCTCATTGATATGGAATGCTTTGGCTTCCCTTTAATTTACCGCGTTTTGAACTTTTCCATCTCCTCTGAGAACGGAAGGGGTGTACGGGTTGATAAGGGAGAGCGGGATGGAGCATCTCTGGTGCATAGCTGCACATGTCATCTCTGATCGATAAGATCTATGCACAGGACCCCGACGTTTTGGCTCAAACATACCAAATATGCGAAGTCGGGAGGACATTCAAAGCTATTTTTGCAAAATAGTGAGTTTTCGCATTGCCAATCTTGTAAAATGCAGTAATTCTTTAGACGCCCGAGGTATTCTGATCATCGGAATGGGTCTCCTGGCATGGTTTTGGACTCCAGGTGAGCTGTCTGTCATGGAACATTGTTGCCCAAATCGTCCTCAACCTTGGCAAGACAACTAGTGCAAGCGTTGCAAGAAGAATTTATATAAAAGCCTCGTCCAGGCTAGTTTCTCCTTACTGCGAGTCACCGCGGGATCCAGATACTGGAGATTGTGACAATCGTTTCAACTTACCTTCGAATTTTTATGCCTCACTATTCTCTTTTGTGTCTCAGGCCATATTTCTAGCAACATTGCAGCCGCGAACTCACTTACTGTCCGCGACTTTTTGATATCAACTCCACCAAACAACCTCTCCTTATATCACAGTATGCCAGTATCGGATCGCAACCCATCGCAACCGACAAATCATCTCCCCTAAAGCACAACTATGGTTTACTATGCGTACATCGATGACGTACGTGCAAGAACCACTCTTCAATGCCTGTGATACCACACTGAACCTTTTTTTAGATCAGCGACGGCTCCTCCCCGCGATACATTGCTGTTTTCGCCAGCCGTGCAGTCGCCGATGAGTGGTGGCGTGGCGTGTCCACTTCCACCAATACGAAGTACTCGGACAGTATCAGACGTGTTGCCCCCCAGTTCTTTACCCACGACGTCAGCAAAGCCAGCGCTGCCTCCTCCATCACTGACACCCAAGTTGCATCTAGTTTTTTTGGCAAAGTGTTTTTCAGGCTACTGCCGAGTGATATCGGATTTAGTATCATTCCGATTCTAGATCTCGTGGATCATGTTAGCGGAAGCTTGTGAGTCATTTTGTTGTAGGTTCTTTCATAACTGCTCACAACGATCATGTTAAAGATTTTTCATCCGCTCCAAAGTCTCTCCTAACGAGTACTGGTACTGTCCTGGATCGTCGACAGGCAACGTCACGCCTAACTCCAAAGTCTATGTATCATGTACTGAGCGGACCCGCTTCCGGGTCCGCCTCATCAACGAACGCAAGGACACTACAGGGACCATCATGATTGGCTCTGACGACATCGCTATTACCTTAACTTTCACCAACCTATCCATCAGAGTCTCCCGCAGCGGCCATTTGATCGTTTCGAAAAACCCTGAGCTAGGGCTGAAGTTCAGTGACCTTGTGAACGGATTCGGGGTGGCGACTCCCTTGCTGGACAACGAGGGTCATCGCGAGAATGTAAAGGAACTCTTCAAGACGGATGATGGGGAAGAGTGGGAACTCGCTTGAACTGGTGTCATTTGATGTTGACAAAGCACGCGAAGTTGGCTTTTACTCTTATGATAGAAGCTACGTCAACTCGTTCTGCAACTACAAAAGCATGCCAGATGATGACATCATCTGGTAGGTATTTCTGGCAGCCATAATCTCGTGATGCTAAAAGCAAATATCTGGCTCAGCCAACGGGACTTTGAGTAACTTGACTTTATTCAAATGTAAATACACTCGGGAGCGCAGGTGAGAAACTCATAACATGGTCACTCGCAGACATTACAATATTGGGCGGCTGTTGATTCAAGTCTAACGCGGCACATCGAAGTCCTGGACAGACTGTCGATGGTGGGGCAGAAGGTGCGTTCGAGAAGTAGTTGGGGTTGAGACTGATTACTGATACCACAGACAGATATCTTGCGACACATGGGCGAGCTGTCCACCGTTGAAGTTCAGTGGCACGAGGAATGTTGGCAAACCACTTACACAGCTTAGAGTGCCACGCGCTACAGTTGCGGCCAGAGGGCTGGTGAATGGTAATAACAAGTTCTGACTGTCAGCAGTAGAGTGCTGATTATTCGATCGATGGCATGTCGCTATCATGGCATCTCGGTTGACGGTTAAGTATCCGCTAGGATCTGCACCTCTTGGTCGGACGCGTCGTGCCGGGTCAGGTCCGTTTAGGCGCCTCGGATATGATGACAAACTTTTTTTTGCCAATCAATTGATAAAGATCAGCAGACAGACAGACAAAGCCAAATTGTGGTACGGTCTGGACTCTGGGTGGCTCCGGGTTTGTGCAGCAGTGTGCACTGGGTAACTATACCACCATATTGATGTTACTCATACTCACGACATTATAATCAGGTGGCTGCAAGCTACAGGAGTAGATACGCGCGGACGATCGGTACATGTTTTCCTTGTCCATATCTAATTCTTCCGATGAAACTCCTCCTAGCAATGATGGAAGACATGGCTGTAGTCAACTAAAATTCTAGTCAAACTCTATGCCACTGTACACCTGTTGTGTCTCTTCTGTTGCTCCGACTCGGACTCCTCTCAAAGGGTGGCGTTCCGTGTTTCGCGGTCTGCCTCAGGTCACGACGAACGAGGTCACGATCCTTTATTGGTCTACCAAGGGACACCATACCATGCGCCCCGTGCCAAGACGAAAGGCAAAGAGCCTAAGTTGATGCATTCTTTTGATGCTACAGAGGACGATAACCTGGACCAGGTTCAATTCGAATGTTTCAAATCTGATTATCTGCCGGCCTGACTCGGAGTCTTTATATACTGTCTCATGTAATAAAGCTGCCATAATTACAAGGTGGTTGTCTTGGTCTTGTGTACGGATTTTTGTCCGACCTTCACGTAGCTTCCGTTTTTTCGCGTTGATTCCGCCGTCGATCCGGTTGTAAGATCAGCTAGTCACGAGAGTTGAACGTGTACCAGAAAGTTGGATAGACCCGGCCGGACCCAGCCGGACTGAGCCGTCATTCCCAAATTCTCAATCTTTCTTGGACATTCTGCCAACGTTCCGCCGAGTTCTGCTTGTCGTATACTTGCCTAAACCTTGAGCAGGGAACACGCCTACACCACGCTAAACTAGCTAAACTAGCCAATGCTACTCTTATTTTAAGGAATTGAAGAACATAGCATCGTACAGGATCCGCCACCATCAACACTGTCCACGACCGTGACCGTTCATGTGTTGACCTCGAGGCTCGTTGAAGTTTTGGGACAGTTGGGAGGCTTTTAAAGGCGCCTCCAGTGCTGTGGCGTCATGGCTCCACCGTGTCTCTGTGCCAAGTGGATCAAGGCCAACCCCAGATTTTCATCTCAGCTGGTATCTTCGGTGGTGATCTGAGCTATCGGCGCCCTCTTTCCGGTCACGCACGAGGCCAGGTACAGTGCACTTTCGATGCCGCGGCCAGGTCTTCGTGGAAGAGACTACAACCTAGTTTGTATTGTACCGATATTCCAATCCGGACCATAGTTCCTATCTTCCCACAACCCTCGAGGTTATGGTGCACAAGCTTACGATAGATACTACTTAAAGCCACTCCAGCAGTATAAAAGTCTCTTCCATTTTGCTCCCTGAGACTTCCACTTCCTCAGCGCTTCCTTTATTATTGTTACAAAACATGGCATACTCCCCATACGACGCCTATGATTCCTATGACGACTACGACTCCTACAGCCGTCCTCGCAAGCAGTCGTTTGGATACAGAGCGACCACTCCTATCGGTGGCTACCCATACGATCCACGGTTGGGAGCAACGTACAGTGAGCCAATGATGCGCGGAGAGGTGCCACAATACTTATTCATGTTCGTTGTCATTTGCTCATGTTTAATTTCGAAAGCGTTACTCTTCATCAGCCTACCCGATGTACCCGTCCAACCGTAGCATGTATCGGACACCCAATCACAGCGCGAATTATCTTCGTAAGTCTGGAACTTGGACGCATTCAGACAGGCTCTGACCTTTATTAGCGTATGATGATATGGATTACCGTACTGGAACTCCCGGCCTCTATCCCCCTCTCGTGCAACCCTTAGCAATGGGTAGACCGCGCCGGGCATCATCAGTATCTTACTCACCAAGGCCGCCAGCATTCGGAGACCCCTTCCGCAGAAATAGCCCCCCTCAGGTTAGATTCAAGCGTAAGGGTGCCTTCCGGAGCGGAATCACCCTTGGTGAAGCACAAGCCAATGTTCGATTGGCTGGACACGACTCATACACCTTCAATGATCTCGGTGTTGATCACCGAGGCAAGATCTATGTGAAGATGTCGGTGAGTACAATATGGATCTGATCTCCAGCTAAAGCCTCAATTGTCCATCTCAAAGTGGCCGGGATATTCACCACTCAATTACGAGATACCTGTTGATGGCTATGGGGGTCTCATCGACCTTCAATCGTTGACGCGCAGGATCGGACGTGCGGTTTCACATTATCTTCAGGTGATTATTCAATGGTATCTTTTCAGTATAGAGATTTCTCATGCACTATGTACATAGGCCAACATCATCCCTATACCAATGGATCGTATCGAGCTATCGCACATGGAAGAAGTCGGCATGGGTACATGGCATCTCAAGATGACAACAAATTGAACAATATCCTGTCCCGTGCGTAACCGCCTGCAGCGAGAAATTCTCAGCGTACTTTATTATATATCTGTCCTTGATAATCTATTCATACTGCAGCTACACTCGTGGATGCCTGGTGTATCATCATCTCTGCGCCTTTCGAGCCGTGCTCAGTTGTACAAGAGACCAAACCATGTGTGTATCATATTACGTCACGAATCTTACGAACTTTTACGAGGTGTCGTCTATGTATTGGAAGGAAATGCATGTTATATATCACCAAACGCAACAAGATATGTCCGCAGTTACACAAGTGCCGATCGCTGCTTCCGCCTCCTGTTGGACTCTCCCTTCTGACGAGGCGAGCTGCGAATACCAAGGGCACGTTTCACTTTAGTCATGAATGGTAGGTGGGTTTCCCTGTCCCTTCCCTATCACAAGATATGGCAACAAGCAACGGAAATGAAGACACGTAGACTAACCATGGGACGAAGTTCTTGCTTCGCATGCTTCTTGCCTTGTCTGGATGTCCTGGGATTGGAAAGTGCCGCGTCTGTAGAAGGGCCACGGGTACATTAAACTCGGCACATATCGGTAATTGCCTAAGTGACAAACTTACTCTTGTCTCTACTAAAGAAGCGCAATTTGCGGCGAGCAGGTGCATGATTCCGTTCACGGTGATGTTCATTACTCTGGAAAAGATTCATATTGATTGCAAGTGATCGATATATGGTAAAGTTTTGGTAGAGGGCAAAGGGTCACGGTTAAATGTTGCGGAACTTATGGAACGTAGTTGTTATGTACTATTCAGAAGCTCCACCATGGGAATGATGTGGTTGTCTACGGTGGATAAGTGGAACTTGCATCGTCATGATATCCACCGGTGAAGTGATTTGCGCCCGCCCGTGGGGCTGAGGGCTGTCATGGGTTGTCATCTTGTGCTGCGGCCGATATGATGCCAGATTTACGGCTTGTTTGTGATTATTTGTAGTAAGAATGATTTCATATCAAAGGCTTTCTGATCTGTTCTGATCGTTCGCGCAGGAGATTCGAGAAACCGCGGTGATCATCTGCATGTTTTCAGATGAGGATACAACCCTCGTTCATGCCGTGCAGAAGCAATATGCTTCCCTGAACCTCAAGTTACCAACCGGAACTTTCACGATTCTAGCTGCAATCGCCTTGATTTCGTCTGATTCTTTAACAATTCAGCCAAAGATCATCGGATTAGCTACGGGATGCAAGTGCCTTCCAAAGGACAAGCTTCCCCTGCAAGGCGAGGCTGTGCATGATAGTCATGCAGAAGTTCTCGCTCGCCGCTGCGCCATTCGCTGGTTGATCGAAGAGATCGGTAGGGCGGCCTCTGGTGGATCGCATTGGCATTCTGCGTGGATAACAAAAATGGCAGATGATCGCTATCGTCTTAAAGACGGCGTCTACATGATCATGTATATATCGACACTTCCTTGTGAGAAGCACTAGCCTTGTTTGTTGCGCGTGTCTCATTTCAACCGATCAATGTTAAGGCGGAGACGCTTCTATGCGGTTCCTCGCTACCTTCCAAGATGAGGAGATGGCGGCACTGAAGGACTCTGCAGTGTTCCCACCTTTGGCCCCCGATGTTGCGTCCAGAGGGCGAGATAATTACTCCCTTTTCGGTGTTCTCCGTACGAAGCCCGGGCGTGCTGACTCTCCTCAGACACTGTCGTTGTCTTGCAGCGACAAAATAGCACGCTGGAACGTACTCGGAATACAGGGGGCTTTAGGCTCAGCCTTTTTTCACCCGATCTATTTGAAAAAGATAATCATCGGCGAAGTCCCGCTAGATCTGCACGACGTCGTAAAGTCTGACTGTGAACGAGCGTTCTGGGGGCGTCTGCAAGAAATCGATGGTGCATATGTTGTTCGATCATAAAGTAATGCTTACGATCGTGACATATCTTGCACAGGCCTTCCCGAGGGATACAAATTGGGTCGGCCGGAAGTCCAGTTTACGTCGGTTGGGTTTATCCATTCAAGATCAGCGCAAGAACATTCTTCTCCTGCTCAAAGATCGTGCAATGAATGTAGGTATATATTCATCTTGCATTGTCTCTCTTAAATGCTTTATCATCAGCTTTGACTTGGGTCGCAGACTCTGCGTCACCACATGAGGTACTGATAAACGGCCTCAAACGAGGCGTCTCTCCCAAACATCGCTACAAGACGATGTTCTGGTAAGCAAGCAGTTAATCAACTTTTTCTGCAAACTATCTTATGCAACATTTTGGCAATTCGAAGGCCCAGGCTCTCAAAGGTCTCCTTGTTTCACCTGTACAGAAAGACGAGGAGCATAGAGAACCTGCCACTTGAAAGGTAAGGATCCAGAACAAAGAGGGGGCGATCCCTAGCACTCACAATTTGTTATGTAGTGAAACAATGACATATTACCAAGTGAAAGAGAGCATGACCCAGTATCAGATGGCAAAAAACTGTTTGCTAGGGAAAGATCGACCTTTTTCAGGGTGGATTCGAAGTGGAGCTCGATGGGAGAACTTCGGTACTAGTAGCGATAACGGACAACAAAGTACTGACATTACGAATTAAACGCCAAAAAGAAAAGCAACGAAAGCGCATGTATGTAAGTAAGTGGAATACAACGTGATCAATAGCTGGGGTATATATTAAGAAACACAGCAAATTGTTATATGTGACGTTCCAAGGCGTTTCCAAAACACCCAGAGATACAAGGAAACTGGGCAACCGTTGGCATTATGCCTATAAATCCTTATCCTTGTCAGAGGATTCGGCTTCTGCGAGCAGTTCATCAAGGGAGGTAGTTGGTAACGTCTGGGCCAATAATAATGGCGTCCCGACAAGTGATTCACCATCTGTAAATGTGGGACTTGATCTGCCAGAGCGACTGTTGCCATTGTTACTATTATTATTACTGCCGTCCGCAAGCTCCTTTCGAAGTGCCTCTAATTCGCGTTCGAATCTTCGAGGGAGAAAAGTCAGATTCTGTGCAAAGAACCCTGAGTCGAGGATGCTTACTTGCGACCGAATACCTCGATGTAGAATCCGCCACCGTTCCACACGCTCACAGAGAATATAAACAAAAGGAACGCTCCACTCCACATAGGGCTATCATACAACAAGAACACCGCAGGCAGTTCTGTAAGGAGAGAGTATACTGAAGGAACATTAACATGGCTGAGTTGTAACGTTGAATTTCACTTACCAAGTTGCCCCGTCATGAATGAAGATTCACGGTACTTTGGAGGAACTGTCGACAAAGCTCGCCCAATGGCACTACGCTTGTCATTCAAAAGGAAAGAAAAGGACGTCGTTCGCTGGCCAGATGCAATCTTGCTTCGACGATCTACCAGTACAAATTTCCAGTACATCAACTGCCAACAGATATCTAGATGTCCAGTCATGTTCAGTCATCAAGACCATCAACATGAAGCTTACATATAGCGCCGCTCATAAGGAGAGCACGGACTGGATTGAGGTACGGGAGTGCCTTCAGCGCGGGGAATCTGTCTTCTGCATTCGGATAGAAGTGCCTGTACATAGTGGTTAATAATTGTATGGAGAAGACCAACTATAACTGACCTGATCACTGTGAATGTAAAAGGCGCGTATATATGCACGAATAACGACGTGACTTTATCCGTGTCATGAAAAACAAGGCTGTTCCTCCAAGTGATAACAGCACTAGCGAGCGAGCCGTGTGATAAACTATAACAAGCCATGAACAGCGCTGTATTTGATGGGAAGAACCACATGTAGATGAAGTTGAGGATCGTGACGTAGTAGCAGAGATCGAACAGGAAATAATGCCATGACCGCTTCTTGTATTGGTAGGCACGAAGAGGAAGGAGATATAAGCCTTGCACTGTATATGCGATATGGATCCATCTGCATACAAGACATCAGTCACCACCAAACGCAAAGAACTTTCAAGGATGCATACTGTGGTGCTAAGCCAAAGAGCAACGCCGACACGAGGAGGGACATGACGCTAAAGAAAAACGACACTTTATCACGAGTTCTCACTACCTTGGCGGAATGCCACGATTCCGCTAGGTTTTGCATACGAAGCGAAACCTGTCATCGACGCGTTAAATCTTGATGAAAGCCACAGGATCCGAAAGTACCTTCAGCTTGAAGTTTTTGATCTCGCGATCAAAATTCTCTGCTAGTACATCGCTTGATTGCACACGTTTCTTCAAGGCTTCCTCGGCTTTCGATTTCAATCTATCGCTGTGCTTCTGTATCTGCCGCTGGAGTAAGTCCAGCCGAGAGTCAAAGAATGTCTCCATCGTATCTATCGCAAAAGCAGGTCAGATTTTGGGGTAGCCATGACAAGATGATAGGGCAGAAGACTTGCCTAGCAAGGTAAAAGCGCCTGTCTCGTCTCGTATAAAGCGTTCGAAAGGTGCAGAAAAGTATCCTGCCCCGGTCGCTGGCCCAGGAGACTCCATTCTTAAAGTTGGGGACGGTGGCCTTGAAACCGTTGTGGAAGTCTGAGCCTTTGCGAGTGCAAAACAGGCTTATACGGAGTGGCACTCTAAACCAGTGGCGCTTGTCAAAGGGCAGTGCGTCACACGCCGACATAAATGTATGCTTATGTCACCACGAGCCTCTCAGAGTCTCGACTTCTTTTGGATTCGACTTCGAAGTATGTACAGTATTTATTGACCTTTGGACCTCCGTAATAATACTGTCGTTCCCCGTACCTGACTTAGCAGAAATCAGTACTAGTAACGTAGTCAGCTAATCAACTTTGTTCTATCGTTAGTCCGCGTTTAGGTAACTCTAAATCTTAACGAGAGGGTTCAGATAAATGACTTAGGTTTTGTGGACGAGCACCAGAACAGGTATGGTCTGTCCAGTATATAGAATTCAAGACACAATCACGACAGGTAACGCGGTGCAATGCTCTATGTAGGTTACAGCCATTGCTCACATCAACGAAAGGTCGCCAAACTTCTCTTTGTAACCTGGAAGTATTGCTCAAGCGAAATGAAATATAACACAATTCGATGAACATACCAGGTACAGTCCATTTGCCTTTCTGGACCATGGTCTCGACTGCTTCCAGTATCCGTGGGTGGGCATTGCCGACATCCTCCACCTGAGCAAGTAAACAAACAAAATTAGAATAGATTCCAAGACTAAGAGGAGAAGACGTACCGTCAAGTCTTCGAACGGACGGGCCTCTTCGATGTTAGCAAGCGTTGCCTGCAACTCCTTGAGTTCCACGTCAATTTGGGCGGCTGTCGCTTGGGCTTTCTCAACCTGCGTTGATCATAAAGATACTTAGTCACGACACCACAACCTTGAGCGAGTAGAGGTCATACCGCTTTGGCCTCGAAAGTTTCGATGGCTTTGACGTGGGCAGATACGTCGTACGTAACAACCTTGAACTCCTTCAATAGCTTCTCGGCTTCGTCGACAATTGCCTTGTTCTTCAAGACAGTGCGGTAGTGCGCGAGGTCAACAGTGGTAGGTTGAGATGCATATTGCGACTGGAGGCGTTGAGCATCCCCGTGCCGTTTGCGGAATGCCTGCAGAGCAGCGATGGTATCTGCAAATGCAAAACCTCTATCAGCCTAGCTGCAACTTTTACAAGTTGAGGTTCATGCCTTTTCCGAGCCCAAGTGTCGAGTAAATGCGGGTGAAGTCCTGTTAGCGGGGAAACGAAGATGAGCGATGGCGCGACCCAGCACGAAAAAAAACGAGACTTACAACCGCGGCTACTGCTGCTTTTGATGCCATGGTTTAGAGAAAGGCGGGAAATAATACGAGTAGCTGGGACACTAGAGGCACGCGTTGGCTACCCACAAATAATAATGCTGCAAAGGAACGACTGAAACGAGCGCAGGCAAGGCCGGGAATTGCCGATCCCGTTTATTCCGACTCTCAACGAAACTTGACAGACGCGTGCAAAGTCCAAGCTGCAATGCTTCATTAATTCAATTTCTATAGTCTCCTCTGCTTTACACAAAGGTTCTATTCCCGAATACTGCATTTAAGGTCCGTCGGAAGACACTGAGGTGAACCTGGCTTCGCTGCAGGCATGCGCTCAATGATAGTCTCGTTACTCGTAAAAACTTGTGAAGTTTGAACTAATGTCTCGAACATTCAGCTCACAATGTCCCTTCGAGTTGAAGCAACCATCGAAGTCTTCAGTGTGAGATCCAGATATCCAAGAAGCACCAGTACATGTAATACGACAGCACGGCCCGTTCAGATAAGACACACGAACCGTCTCCCAATCACCTGACACCCTTATCTTGCGCCGCTGCCCTTATAAGAACAATACGTACGAATGACCTTCTCCTCGACCCTTTTTCCTCTGGAGCGCAGACGCAGATCGAGAGCAGTGGAGTTCGTGTGAGAGAGAACCTGGGCTAACAACGTATTTGTGAGTCAAGTAACGCCCTTTCCTTGACCTAATTAAGATGTATGTAAAACGCCCAGCGTGCACGAGTTATTGGATGGACGGGTTTACTTCTACCCTTGCTGTCGTCGAACAGTTTCGCGCTATGGGACCGTTGCCTAGCGTTCTCCTTGCTGTCGCAGCGATTGCTTTGGCATACAGTTTCATTCAATCGAGAAAGAGGCGTGTGACATCCTCGAATGTTGCTCATACGTCACCCGTGACCGAGAAAGATGAAAAGACAAACAAGAATAGGGAACCGGGCGGTATGTTTTAACATTCCGGTACATGTGATGATGCTCAGAATTTAATAGGATGGATCGCGGAAGAATTTGATTATCCCGAAATAGATCCGTGCTCCTTCCCACTGAAGGATGTGCGCCCAGTACCGTACAGACCATTCCGGTATGGTGAATATCAGTAAGTACTTTACCTGTTTTTTTTTGTCTGCGATGCCCAAATGTTAGCGCACGTGTCTGCGTGCGGGCGTGCGTGGCACGTGGATACAATCCGCGAATATGATCTGTAGCGTCATTTTGTACTCCCCCGACCGTACTCATGGCTAATGAATTTTGTCATCTCTTGCGAATGCAGAATCACGATGGGTATTCGCACGATGCCTTGGAGCGAATGGATTGAACTGGACTCGTCCTACCCACACTGGCAGCGTGTGCGCATGTTCCGCGTTCGCACGCGCGGGCATGATGCCGTGCGCGTTCTCCCCGCCCGAGAAGACGAATCTGTCAAGGTCCAGGGCGGCGCATGGGCAGGTGTGTGTTATTTCCTTTGAACGGAAGTGTAGGATCTATGCTGATAAGCTACAGCAAAGGAGCTCGTGTATGAACTCGCAGAGTACCTTCCACGGCGATACCCCTCGAGTTTCCGGGTAACACGATTTCCGAACGGTGTACCAGGGCCGTCAATTGGTGGCGTATCGCTCGCTTGGGGACAACAACAGCCCGTGCAAATTATTGAAGCGGTTGAGACAGGAGATAAATTTGATTTAGGGGTGCTGGAGGGTCTAAATGGTGTTGAAATGGGCGAAGAGGCAATGAGGATTACTGCAGGGCTGTGAGTACCGTGTCACTATATCAGACATTCCTGACCTTCTGTTAGTATACAAGAAGACGTGGCACTCATGATCGAGGGTATAGGGTTTCTACACTACCTTGGTTAATAAATCTGAAAACGTTTGTTCACACAGGTACGGATGGCAAGTACTATTTCCAGGGAGGAGCGATCTGCATTCCAGGTAAGTGCAAACAACGAACACGAAGATTGCACCTGACATCATCTTCTCAGGATTCTGGCGCATGCGGGACAAGATCGGAATGACCCTGGACGATATACATATTTCAGGAAACGTTCCACGGTGTAAGCCTGACCTATCATATTTGTTTTTGTCCACGCTGATACCGGCGGGCGCAAAGTCAAGGAAAAATTGCAGCTGAGCATGGAAAAGTTTTTCAGACGGATGCCGGTGGACAAGCCGGTTATTCGAAATAATTATTTTATGCAAGTATGTAAGCCATCGTCGCACGTGTCAAATGGCGACGATGAAGCACGACTGGACGTCGAGGAAGAGTGTGCTTCCGATATTGATCCAGAAGAATTGGGTTGGTCAGAATCGACGAACGGACCGGAGGATGAATTTTTGCATGGACACGGACATGGTGCACTACCTGCACCATACCTCGCGCCGTCGACACTACGACTACGATCGGAGAGGCAAACACTGCGCCGACTTCCTCGCACAGGAGCCATTGTTTTTGGGATTCGGACGTACCTGTTCAAGATCGAGGAACTGGCTCGGGAGCGAGGAGTGGCTGATCGGCTTGCAAGTGCCATAAGAAGTTGGCCTAACGATGTTGGGGTATACAAAGGGCGTAAAATGTATGGTGATATACTACTGAACTACTTAGATGAGTGCGCAGCAAGGGAAGGAGTGCAGGAGGAGGGACTTAAATACCCATATTGAGGTTAAGGGGTATAATAATATTTAAAAGGAATACTAGCACAGGGGAAGAAATGACGTGCGTCGGATCTTCTAAAAGTAGCAAATGATTGGGTTTATCGAGCGTTTATTAGAACTCCGATTCAAGTTCAATATAACACGAGACTACGTCAGACGTCGTCATTCCTCCTCTGACCTCACCACAAGAAAAATTGGAGCAGATTACGCACGGGCCACAAAGGAAACACCGGAGCTGTTGGCTTCGTGCCGAATATTCATTATATCGGTAAAATACTGTACAAAAAGTTTATTGACCACCAAAACCTCGTCATCATGTCCGCTACTCCACCTAAAAACGGTGATACATCCAACTCCCCTGACGTCAGGTCACAACCCCCTCTTGCAAGGCAGACTAGATCTGATTTTGACCTCGAACCTAACCCATTCGAGCAGTCCTTTTCTCGTCCATCCCATGTCCGCCATTCCCCTCCATCCAAACGTGATTCATCTAGTCCAGTATCTCTACACGACAGACCACCCTCTGCTGCTTCAAATAAAAATTCAAAGGATGGTAGGTCTACTTCTCCGAGACCAGTACTACCCCCCTTGGCAGCCATAGCATCTCCCACTACAGATCAATCTTATGGTTGGCAATTTTCTTCATCTCTTGCAAACTCTCTTCGCGCTGGTCCACTCTCCCCCGCCATGCTAGCCGGCCCACAGCAGGGTTCAGACTCCGCATCCCATTTGCCTTTTGACACCTCTTTCCGAACCGGTTTGACACCCCGCACCGGTCTCACACCCCGCACAGGATTGACACCAGGCACCGGCTTGACACCCCTGGTAGGGGGTCCTGTCTCTTTCCCCCCTCCTTCCCCGAATACTGCCGCTTTTTTGGCGCTTATGAATAATAATGCAAGCGCTAATTCAAACGCGACTATAACACCAAACACCCTCAGCGCAATCACAGGTGTTCTTAACTCCTCTTCAGCGCAATATAGTTCTGTCACACATGCTCCCACAACTAGTTCTCACCTATCCACATCCGTCACTGCTAATCAGGAAAATAGTGATCCTCCTTACCTCAGCGCATCCTCTGCCGCAAGCACGGCTGCAAATGGTTTATATTTGCTTTCTCAAGCTCATCAGGAGCTTACGAAACGTGAAGAGGCACAGGCACGTGCTAACAATGTTGCAAATGCAACTAACGGAAGACGTGGTGTAAAGCGCAAATCTTACG